GAATGCTGATTGGCTGAGAGCGATGACGGTTGTCATAGTTACAGACGGGTGTGAATGGTTTACAGTCCCGCTTGTCCGGTTTGCTCTTCACCTGGGCGTCTTGGGGTTAAACTAATGGAGTGGATGGGGAAAAAAACCGCAATGTTTTCCGTCGTTTCTGGAAAATCAGGCTACTATTTCCTTTGACGTTACACTTACGAGAGGTCTACGTTAATGCCAGAGCCCTTGTAGGCCATCTTGGTTTTAATCGAGCTGGTTAATTTGGAGTCCGTTATTTTGCCTTTTCTAAAAAATAAACCTCTCCTGCCAATGAGTAGCTTAAAGTATATCACAGGGAAAACGCATGCGCGAGTCGAACAGTGTATATCTTACGATTTCTTAAATTGTTTTATTATCTAGCTAAACCCCGTGTAAATTGTCTAATACTATACATTAAAACGTTGCAGTGTCTTGACTGTCACCAGCAGGTGGCGGCTCGAGAACCCTCCTGACAGATTTTTACATTGTTGACGGAAGTTCACGCAGAAGAAGAAGAAGACTTGGAGCAAAGATGGTGCGGATAAAGTCCAGGTAAACACACGTTTCGTCGGTGAAGTTGTGTTAAGTATTTAGTTGAAGTATTCCTACTGATTCACCCGTGTCGACAGGTATTTGCTGTGTGAAATTAACGTAACAGACAAGAGCCGTCTGTTGCTGCTGGACGACCGGGCTGTGATGACGGCAGTGCGGACAGCTGTGGCTCGCATTCACGGCGACTATGGAGCAGCTCAGTGTATTATCGGTGTATCGGGTAAGAGAGAGAGAAAAAAGTGTAAAAAAAATTTAAAGTATACATTACATGTACTTTACTGTGAAATGTAAAATGATAACGATTAAACCTCCAGACAGTGTTCTGAATCGAGGCTCGAGCAGATTTGTACTACAGTGGTCCCTCGTTTATCGCGGTACATAGGTGAATTTCCGCGAAGTATTGACACGATATTTATGCGCAGTAAAATGATGATGACTTTTACTGCGCAGCCGTTGATTGACTTCACGTCTCTCCACGGAGTGGTGCCATTTCTTGGGGCACCTCTTCCACGGTTTCCGAAGGTTTATCCGTAGTAGTAGCAGGAACCGGCTTTTTTTGCGAGGCTGCAAATATATCGTCATCGGCAGTTGCTTCTGCTGCTTCTTTTTCCAGTCGAAGAGTAGCTCATAGGCAGTCACGACGTCGTCGATTTTGTTGCTAAAATTGGACCGATCGAACCGTATCGTCGTCCCATTCCTGTGACATCTCTCGCAGATCCAAATTTTATATTTGCAGTTTAAAAAAAAACGCGATGTCGTGAATCCGCGAAATAGCGAGAGACTACTGTACTTATTTCCTCATTTCTCCGTAAATCAACAACTTACCACGTGGTTATTTTCCCTTGTTTTTTCCCCCCAGTGAAATACATGAATGCACACACCGGGATGGTATTTCTCCGTTTTCCCAAACGTTGTTACAAACTCCTGTGGTCCGCACTGCCTTTCATAACGTGTATGGAAACCCGTGGGCAGAAAATCCCATGTTTTCTAAACTGTTTACATGTAGGAGGTAAGAAAATATCAACAACTGTATCAACTTTAACAACGGCTCACTGAACGCGTGTATTAACAAAATCTTTTCTAGGAACAATTAGAACGTGCCAGAAGTTTCTGATCCGGTACAACACACAACAGTTACATCGTCTGCTCCCTAAGTGTAAAAATGAAGGTACAGTATATTTTTGGAGGACTTGTTGGGCATATTTAGCACAGACGATCTGTAATTAACCACGTCGTTTACAGATGAAAAACATGTTCGAACGGCCCTTCTGAAATGCCTACTACCTGGAGAGACTAGAGAAACGTCTGCAGAAGAAGCAGACAGCGAAGAAGATGAAGTGGTGTGAACGACAGGAGGAACTGGTGTTCTCCAGGACCTTCTGCCTGGAGACTGTATCGCGTACTTGAACATTTCAAGGCCGGACACAGTTCAGTGAACTGAGCTTAAACCAACCAAATCACCCAAAATTACCGATTTGTATTTTTTGTAAACAAAGTACTTGTGTTAAATGTTCGTGTTTGTGTTTCAAATGTAAAAGACCCCCGCCCCCCCAAAAAGCAAGTTGTCAAAGTGTTCTACGCTTTCCGGACGTGGGGTGGCGCCACTGAATCGGCTCCACATTAAAAAAAAAGTTTACACAATTATTTTTTTTCTTTCTAGGCTTTAGTCCTTTCTTGTCAGTTTATTATTTATGTTTTAAAAAGAAAAATAAAATAACGAAAATAAAGAAATTTCTTTATTTACAAATACAAGAAAGATATTTTTTTGTATTTTCTCTTTTTTTTTTCAACGAGTTGAACTAATTACGCTTTGATAAGCGTCGACTTCTCTTTCCTTTAAAGATTTTTTTTTACGTCACACGTTTCGGTGCCTCTGGTGAGTAAAAACAAGTAAAAGTTCGACACCGAAGCTGCGGGTTATACCATGCGTTTGTTTTGATCAGATCCTCAGGCAGGAGACCAACATCCGGGTCCCTCCGCTTCCTGTCTGGCGACCCGTCGCCATTGCTGCAAGTCTGTTTTTACGGATTACCTTTATCGGTTAAAATCTCGATAATTAGGCACGTTTTCCACTCTTGGAAAACGCTTAAAGCCTTTTTAAAGGCATATTCCTTTCCTCGGTGGGAAAAACGCCTGGTTTTAGGGGTGTTTGCCCCGAGTTTTCACCCTCTCTCCTTCTAGCCTTCTTAACTTGAGACGCCGATTTCGTGTCTCTTGTTTTTTTTTCCTCGTTGTGTTAAATAGTTAAGATGTCGCCGTGATGGGTTCACCGCGTTTGACAGAAATGAACCGGGGCCTTCGCCGCCTTACTCGCACTCACTGCAGCCCGCTGTTCTCGTCCGTGTTTCCGTTTGATGCCCCAGAGCTCGGCGGCTCTCAGCCCAAAGCTCCTTCCCACCACCGCCGCCGCCACCCCGAACTTCACGGAGACAAGTATGGAGAAGAATCCCAACAGCAACGCCAGCAACAAGGTCCCGCCTCGTTCAAGCTCCACTGGTCCGACACCGGGAGAATCTAAACCCAAAACAGGTACTTATATGATATAGGACAGCGGGGCAAGCTAAGGCTCGGTGTGGCCTGTAGGCTGAGGCCTAGCTGCAGCCCGGAGCAGGTGTAGCAGCGGTGGCTCGTGACGTCGTCAAAACATGTTTACGAACTCGAGAGTTGTCGGTACTGTCCGGTGCTAAAGTCACAGACAGTTGAATTGTTGTTTACGAACTCGATACCAGTACAATGCTAACTGCGAACTCATTAACCTTTTATTTGTTTTGAAACCCCCCCACCGCACCGCCCCGCCCTGTGGTTATCTGGAATACCACGAGTGACACCCCACCGCCCACAAAAAAACATTTACGTTGAGGATTTTGAGTGTGTGCTACATGACAACTAATTAGCAAATGTAAACTAATTAACTTTCTAATTTCTAAAACCCGCAGCTAATGTTAGCTCGGGTTCCTGTACAAGGACTGGTATGTTCTTGTGCGCTGCCTGTCACTCAATGTTTGGTGTTTGTTTTTCTGGCCAGCAACAAAATAACAAGTCAATTACTGCCACCTACAGGCTGGAGTGTGTATATCACCGAAATACACACTCCAAAAAAAATCAAAATCACCAAACTTTTATACCGGAAATCAGTCACCAAGCCCGACTACGGTTGGTTGGAACTGAATGACATTACGGTGACTCTTTTTTTTTCATCATCCCTGTATTTGTTTTTGTTCTAGATGGTAAAAACAATGGAGGCTCGAAGCGCTACAATCGGAAGCGCGAGCCGTCATTCCCCAAACCGGACAGTTTCCCAGGCTCTCGTCGCAGCAATCCACAGAAAAGCAAAACTTTCGATAAGAGACCCCCTCAGAGGGGCGGCGGGCAGCAGTACGGCGTCACGGGCGGAGGACGACGCGAGGAGGTGAGTGGTACTTCTTACGGCATGACTTGATGAAATATTGGAAAAAAAATGTATTAACGTTAACGCATTTGTACGCCTTTAGGTAGCAGAGGCACGCCGAGCCGAGTTTAGCCCGGCTCAGTTTGCTGGACCGAAAAAAATAAGTCTCAACCACCTGTTGAACTTCACCTTCGAACCTCGGGGCGGTTACGGCGGTGTCGGAGATGGAGGCCATTCTTGTTGGGGCCGCAGGAACAAATGGGGGCACAAGCACAAGCCCTTCAACAAGGAGCAGTTTCTGCAGGCCAAGTGAGTGGACGATGCGGTTGTGGGGGTCGTGGTGGAACCGAACCGAACATGTGTGGAGGTCAACGTGTGCTCTGTCGTTTCAGCTGCCAGTTCATCGTGAGTGATGACCAGGACTACAAGGTTCACCTCGCCGATCCGGACAGGCTCGTCAACTGGGACTACGTGCAGCAAGTGGTGAGTGTCATTAGTGTGAAGGTGCAAAAAAAAAAAAATCACACAGTGCTCCACCTACTGATAGAATCCACCCCGTTTCTACCGCAGCGCATTTACAGCCACGAGGTCCCGTCCTGCCCCATCTGCCTCTACCCGCCGTTGACGGCCCGCATCACCCGCTGCGGGCACATTTTCTGCTGGCCGTGTATGCTGCACTACATTTCCCTGAGCGACAAGAGCTGGTCCAAGTGTCCGATCTGCTACGAGTCGGTGCACCTCGCTGACCTCAAGAGGTGAACGACGAGACACGCGAGCACGAACTCTAAACCCACGGACAGGAAAACGGAAAAAAATGTCAAAATTGAATAATTTTGGCAACTGTGAAATTAGGGCATGGATCTGGCGGTACAATATGTATCACAATACAGTGCCGATACGTAATATCGATACGGTATCAAGAAACCAAATATCGCAATAATTTTATATAAAAAAATATAAAAAAAAACTCACCATGTTACATTGTTGCCACGTATTATGCGAAGTTGCTTGTGCACTGTCTCTTGTCTCCTTGGTGGGGCGCTGTTGTTCAGGATTTCACTGTGAGTAGAAGCAACAAAATAATATTCAGTTCAAATGTGTGACAATATATTTACTGTTGCAGCGTGGTAGCCATGGAGACCAGGCAGTACGCAGTCGGTGATGTCATCACCATGCACCTGATGCGCAGAGAAAAGGGGAGTCTGGTGGCCCTGCCCAGCTCCCAGTGGGTGAAGGTGGAGGAGCCTGTGTATTTTGGAGGTGAGAGGAGGAGGAGATCATGTTTTTTAGTTGTTTCTATGAGGATTGGTACCAAACTGAACACGTGTGTTTCCTAGATTCAAGTCTCGGCCCCAACTCCAAGCTGCTGCTGGCCTCCGCAGCCCAGGTCCTCAGTCTGGTGCTGGAGGAGAAGGCTGCCCTGCAGGCTCAGCTGCTGCAGGAGGACGACGCTCAGGAGTGTTTCATCCAGAGAGCTCTGTGTCTTCTGCTGGTAAAGAAAAAAAAAATTACACATGTGGTAACGCGGTGGTATAGTGGTCGGTGCTCCGTCCTTACAGTAAAAAAGGTCACAGGTTTGATCCCCAACAGACTTTTTTTTCCCCGTTTGTCCTTGTGCTGTAGGAGCGAGAGGAAGTGTTGCTGCAACAGCAGAAAACTGCCCTGCCAGACTCTTTCACTCTGTCCTCCCTGACTCTGGAGACTCGCTCTCCCCCTGTGGACCATTTCACGACTAATGTCAGCAGTGCCAAGGTGAGTTTAAGAAAACCAGTCGTCTTCTGTCCACTGTAATGGCAACAGCAGTCCAGTGCGATGAGACCGAGACTGCGGTGGAGTCGAGTCGAGTCGGGTATACACTGTACGATTTTAGCCCGTTTTTTGACCCGATTTTGTGAGACGCACGACCCGGTGACGCTCGGCCCGATTTCACGTTTCGTCGGGCGTCTGTTTCCGTACAGTGTACACGGTTGGTAACGAGGGCCGATTGTCTGTCCCCGAACCACTGTCGGATGGTCGGAAGAATTTCTGACATTTATTTTTAACGCTCGACAAATTATGTCGCACAGTGGAAAGCGCAAAGTGATAGTAACTATGGCGAGGCGTCGGTGGTACGAAAATATAGAGGCAAGATTGATAGAGCTGTGACGCTGTCCACGATAAACGTAATAAATAAACAATGAACATACTGTCCACGTTTATTGAGCCATCTCCGACTCCAGATGCGCCAGTGCCTCTTCGTTTTCGAATTTTCAGCGCACAGTATCGCACCAATCATAACGGCAGCCTTCTTTATGAATAGCATGTTGCTAATAACTGGCGTCGGAGCATTCAAATAAATCTTTGACAGCTATGAATTGACAGTACAGTCAGCAGGGGGTGACGGGCCGTTTCACCTGCACAGTGTGAGCTCTCTGGTCGTGTTCGATGATCGGACCGTACAGTGTGAGTACATAAATCGTGAGCTTTGGCCGTACATCGTAGACGATCACTCGTACAGCATGTGACGGTATCAACGACAAGATTTTTTTTTAAAATCGTACAGTGTACACCCGGCCTAACACAGTGGACGTCTGTTCTGTCTTCTCCTCAGCACGTCCCGCAGTATTCCTCTGCCTTTGATGATAAACTGATGGACCTCCCGGAGGAGTTCCCAGACCTCCCCGAAGACCTCCCCGAAGACCTCCCGGGCGTGCAGGAGGAGTGTGTTGAAGCTCCAACCGACGAGGCTCCCCAGTCTCAGGCTGAGGAGGTGCAGACTCAGCCAGGACGTCCCTCAGCGGTGGTGGGACAGGGACCCTACTACTATTTTTACCAAGGTAGGACGGTGTCCCGCGTGGACCTGAAGACCCGATGAAGACCCTGACGATCTTCATCGCCCTTTGTCTTTCTGTGTGTCTTCATCAGCTGATGACTGCCAGCAGATGTTTCTCAATCCTCTGAACGTTCGCTGCCTGATGCGTCAATATGGAAGCCTGGAGGCCAGTCCGGATTCCATCACCGGGACAGTGGTGGAGGTTGTGGGACAAACGGTCACTGAGGTCGGACAACCCTCTCCTCCTTTTTTTTTTTTTTTTCCTCCTTCTTTGTGTCCTAACACACATATCGAACTACGATTTCTTTCTGCTCTCGTTCGCAGGAGGTTCGTCGTCGGAATCGTTACCTGGCTCATCTGCCGCTCACGTGCGAGTTCAGTATTTGTGAGTTGGCTCTGCAGCCCCCGGTGGTCTCCAAAGAAACTCTGGAGACGTTCGCAGGTTATGGCACATCTATTTTATTTATTTTATTTTTTTCCTCCGAAAATGACTTGACCCTGACCTGTTCACATTTGACCTTTTAAGACGAACTGGAGAAGAGGAAACGCCTGAGGCAGAAAAAGGCACGGGACGAGAAACGCAGAGAGAAACGCATCGAAATGGAGGAGAACAAAAAGCAGGGTAAATGTAAGTGGAGACATCCTGTCAATCTGGTGATACGATACGTATCGAGGCAACAATGCGATATATTGCGATACACAGAGGGTATAGCGATATATATTGTGATATATCAGTGTGTCAATATGGAAAAGTTTTCGTCCGTGAAGATTTCGCTAACGGACTCCTTGTCTCCCTCAGATCCAGAGGTTCATATCGGACTAGAGAACCTTCATCATTTCCCGGCGTTCGGCTCCCCCCCGCAGTACTGCAGCCAACCAGTTCCCCCAGACTTCATCGTCGCTCCTCCGTCTCCTCTGAGCAGCAGCCCCTCCTCTGGTAAAAAAATTTGTTTGGACTCATCCGTCGTCGTATGAACCCCTGAAGACGGGCGCAAACTTGATTTGTTCTCTCTCTCCAGATGGGCTGATGTTCCCGAGTCTGAACGGGCAAAGCCCCTCGCCCGTTTTCGGCAGCGTGGAGGACGACTCCCACTGCATGTCCTTTGCACAGGTGTGTACTTCGAGCGGAAACGATTCGTTCGCAAACGTGTTTGCAGTCATGATTGTGTTCGTTGCAGAGACGACGCTAACATTCTGACCTCTTATCTTGTCTGGTTTAGATGCTCAGAGACGGGAAGGCCAGAGCCGATGTCGGACCCAAGATCGTCTCCAAGAAAGGTACTGCAGCCGTCAGTTGTAGTGCCGAGATTTCTCTTCAGAAATAAGGATGCCTCTTTGATAAAAGCTTCTGTGGGTTCTCACCCTCTTCTCTGTGAGAACAATAAGTGTAAGACGTGCCGCAGATTAGCTCTCAGCCGTGACTCAATCTGTGCTCCCTGGGCCTTTCCGTGCACTTCCTGACAAACCTGTTATCCTCTCACTTAAATGTTTTTTTTTTTGCTCTATCTTGTAGAGAAGTTGCTGGCTCCTCCGGCGGCAGACAGCGACGGGGAGAGCGACGGGTCAGAGCGAGTCCCGGTGCCCAGCTTCCAGAATTCCTTCAGCCAGGCTTTCGAGAAGGCGCTGATGCAGCTGGACAGCGGTCCAGTGTCTCCCCCGCAACCTGCGGTTGAGCCAGGTCAGGCAGCCTCGCGTCGACATTCTCCGTCCGCGCCCGTTCCGTTCTGCCTCCACGTGCACTCAGTGACGGGTTCTTCTTTTTCAGATGACAAAGGAGGGAAGAGAAAGAAGAAGAAGCAGAAGCTCCTGTTCAGCACCTCCATGGTTCACACCAAGTAGACCACACTGAAGTCTCCGATCAGACGTGCACGATGTTCATTATTTGTCTCCCTGCTGCTTGTGATTTCACTCTCACACGAATCCTTTCTAGAACGTAGGCTCTGAAAGTAGGTCTCGGTACGTAGCCAACGTGGGTCCCACGCAGCCATTTTTCCACTGGCTTAGTTTACACTTCAGGTATCTCTTAAGGAGGTCACAACGACGACGACTAAAACACAAATTAACTACCAGCTTCTCCTTCACTTCCTGACACCCAGCTGTCCAGTTTACCCCCAAACAGACTCCTGAGCATTACACCGGGGGTGGGGAGGGGTCCGTGACACAAAGGTGCTTTGTTATTAGAGTGGCAGTCATCCAGCTGCAGGTACCAGAACACTGGTACTTGGACCAGAACACTTTGTGCTGCTTTGATGTGTAAGCCTCAGTATTAGGTAGCAGCCACAAGCTAAATGCAGAATAGCCTAACCAGAAGGTGGCAGAACAGTGTTGTACTCTTGTAAAAGATCGGGTATTTACTCCTACCAGACTCTATGGTATATATTCTACCTTCATCCAAACAGAAACACTTCTGTCTGCGTCTCCTTTCCGTTGATGTGTACTTCTTTAATACTTACCAGCCCCCCCCGACCCCTCCCAGCACCAAAGCTCAACAACGTGTGAAGTTGGTCAACTGCTGACATTGAAAGGCCGTGAGAAAAGTATAATTTTTTTGTTTGTTTTTTTGTTTTTAAGGTTTCTGTATTCACCTTTAAGTTTGAACATGACTGGGAGACACTAGTCTGAAATAAACAAGTATCAACGATGGGAAACGATCTTGGCCTCATTTCTTATCGCACCAGTAGAGCGATGTCTCAGGGTCTAAATAAAAACTTAACTTAGAGATCTTAATCACAGAACCATCGACGCCCAGATTTGAGATTGTCCAAGTCTGGACTAAAGAATGGGTTTGGGTTTGGGTTTGGGTTTGGGTTTGGGGGGGGGGGTGGACACACGGAGAGAGGTTAGCGCTCTCGTAACTTGAATTATAACTCGGTGTTAGCATGTTGTTTGGGGTCTGGAATTCAAATTAAAATACAATATTCTTATCGCTGTGTTCAGACAACGGTAGACAAGTTACGACACGTTATCGTTTGTAAACTTCCGTAAATACACAGTATCTCGTCGCCTGCGGTTCACATTCCGGAAGTCCGTAAAGTCGTCAAAAGGTATGTTTTACTTCGAAAGTACAGTCCGGAAGTTGCCTCCTCCCGTATGACTGCCGGCTTGCTAGGAGGTAATACCCGTCAGTTTTGTCTGTCTGGTCCAGCTTGTCAGCAACAGTGCAACCTGAGACGGGATAGCCAACGGTAGGCTAACCGAGTGAACCAGCTAAGTTAGCCACTGTGTTTCGTTCCACTTTGACCACTTTTTAACGGACTTGTTATCCCTCTGCCAACATTTAAAGTTGTTTGTGGAAGAGGAGACGCCAAATAGACCCGTCTGTTCGGTAAGTTGTCCGCACTTTTATCAACAGACACCGACGCACAGGTTCACTCACTTTTTTTTTCTCCATTTCTGCGAGAGTAGTAGTTAGCTTCGTGTTGTTAGCCCGCAAGGAAACATCCTGGAATTGAAGCGTTCGCTCCATAATATTGATTTACAGTCGTGGCGCATTAACGACCGCAGTCCGGCCGTGGGTCTCGGCATCTTCTGGGTCTGAACTCTGACGAAAAGTAGACCCGAACTTTGTCCACGGAACTGGGCTCAGTTTAGGTGAGGACCGACACAAAGGTGTCAACATGGTGACCTTTGTTCCCGTCACAGAGTGTTTTTTTAAAATATGAATAAACATCACAACAGACACATGTGGCGCAACGGACAGGAAGAAAACAAGCTTTGTTTTAGCGGTGAAGAAACTGGGGTTATTTTAGTGTTACGCTGCTCTGCTGCAGGATGGGGTTCTACCCCCAAAGAGAGGGAACTTTCTTTTTTTTTTGGTTCTATGCGGTCTATGGACCTGACCTGTTCTGTTTTCACTGCCGCCCTGTAACCCTGTACACCAGTGTACACAGACAACTACAGACCAACTTGAATATTTGACGCGAAGTCTGTCTACTTCAGGAACTCTGTCCCTTTTGTAACTGGCTGAGCCAGGTTACTGACGTCATAGCATTTGCCAACACGGAGCCAAGGCACAACAATCACTGGAACAGGCCTTTTTCTGTAGTTTAAATAGAAAATAGCGATACACTGAAATATCGCGATATTTCATTTCACAATACCTTATCGTGTCTTATATATTCTACAGCACTGTATCGATTTTTTAAAATTTTTTTAAATTAACAACATGCAAATATTCATGGTGTTGGTTTATTTTTGTGTTGCATTTAAACCTCCGACCACTAGTTGATTGTACAGGTACTGCGTGTATTTGCAAGTATTTGAGACTTTACTATGACCACACTTGGACTACAGTTACACCGGGGGCGGGGGGCTCGATATATCGTTGTCCCTGTAGTATCGCAATACATCGTATCGTGATACGTGTTGTATCGCCAGATTCTTGCCAATACGCACCCCGTTGGACAAATCTTAAATCTGAGATATTTTTACAACTTTGACCCCAATTAATATTAACTCAAATCCACAAAACAACATCGTGATCGTTTAAATAAAGGCTAGTCCTCAACAGTTCCGCTGACTGTTCACAGTGAGGTGTGAACCTCCGAACTGCCACCTGTCGATTGGCTGTAAAAGCCAATTTTGTTTTTGTCTATCGACAAACATTAAATCAAAACCCTGAAGCCACCGGAGGCCCGGGAGCCACAGGTTGAGGACCACGTGTGGGACAAATAACCTCTCAGTTTCCCAGGAAGTGGATTTTGTCACGTTACAAATCCCTGCAGCGCAGATATAGCCACCCTCTCAGTGAATATTTGCTATTCCAGATTAGCGCGAGGCGTGTCCTGTCATCACGTGCAGTTCGCCGTTCAACGCGTCAATCACAGCTTGACAAATACTAGATGGCTGCGGTATTTGGCACACTGGGACTTGGCAGGGTTTCACATTTATCTGTGCGTCAACATTTATTGCGTGTTAACCCTTTAATGATCACAGGATGATTAAGGAGAGTGTGAACAGCTCATACAGCAAGTTGCTGGAGCTGTGTAGAAGTTCTCACGTTGCCTCTTCCATCTCTTTCTCCTCAGGCTCCTTGATCTCCATCCTTCACTGTGCGATGACATCACTGCCCGTTTCCTACAAAGGCCAAGGCTTAACGGCAGAGGCGTGACATCCTGTCAGGTGAGGTGGCAACTGATAAAGGTCTCACCGAGGACACATCCGGAAGGGCTGTGATTTGGCAGGAATCTGGTGATATAATACATATCGCGATACATGGGCAACGATATGATATGATGCGATTATACTGTAGGCACGAGTGTAGCTGTAGTCCAAGTGATCCTAGTCTCGGACTCGCTGCTGTTCCAGATCAGGATACGGTATCAGTGATTTTTCAGTGTATCGATATTTTCTTACACCCCTACATGTGATGTGTACGTTCTGGAGCGCCCATAATTGTTAGCATTTCTATCTGCAATTGAAACAGTGGATGAAACATCTCTGTCGCGACGCGTTCAGAAATCTCGGATCTTATCGTATCACGTTTATAAAGTCGAACTCAACCATAGTCAGACCTGCGGACTCACTGTCGAACAACTCTTTAAAATAAAGACAGCTAGCAGTTCCCTGTTCACTTCCTAACATCCGACCTTTAACATTGAACCTGTCGGAATGTCCGGTAACTCTCTGTCTCTCTGTCTGCAAATATGTTTCTGACTCAGGTGTATAAATGTGCTTCTCTGTAAGGCACGCCCCAAGACAAAGTTCACAGTCATGGCTAGATAAAGTGAGTTAATCGCGACTCGACGAACCGCTGTGGCTGAATTTCTCTTCACTAGATCAACAACTCTTGTGACTCAGACCAGAACCTCTGCTTTCATTTGAAGGTCCTGCTGGAGACAATGGCCGCTCAGGTGGAGGTTCAGACGGGCGAGGTAGGGCGGCCTGGGGCAGGGGGGCGACACCACCTGAGTCCTCTGACTGACTCCAGCAACACCAACATGATGGAGATTCCTTCCATCAATCAATCTCACATTATCACCAGAGAACCCAAAAAACCGACGGTGGGACCCAAACCGCGACTCTCTCCCAAACCTTTCGCACTTGAAAGAAACTCCACCGTTCGACCCATAGTCGCCCCGAAGCCCCAAACCAAGCCCCGGCCAGAATCGACCCGCTTGGCTGGATACAAACCAGAACTCGCGTGCAACCAGAAACCACAGCAACCATCTGCTGTGGCGAAATCCAGACCGACCAATCCCAATCGTCCTTCATCTACCTCATTTAAGACAACAAATAATTTAAGTTCGGGTCAAACAACCAAGCTGGTGGTCCAGCCATTTAAACCAGCCCCTCCTTTTGATCCCGGAGACCCCACTAAGCCCTCACGTCCTGTGGCAGCCCATAGGAGGAAACAGGGAATATCAAACTTGGGCTATTCCAAGAGCCTAAAGAAGCCCCCCTCTGCTGAGTGGTCTGGAACCACCAAGAAGGACATTGAAAAGGACACAGTTGAATCCAACAGGGTGGGACCCCCCATTACCAGAGCTAAATCGATGGGTTTCCTAGACCAGGTTGGGCAGGAAGAGGAAGAACATGAAAAAAACAAACCAGACGTGGCTGTGCCACTGAGACCCCAGCCTAGGAGATCGAAGCCCAGACCGGTGTCGGCCATCTTTCTAGAGAGTTCAACTAAGACAGAAGCTCCGACTCCCGCCCCCCGCTGGGCAGGGCGACGGCCTCTGTCGGCAGATCTCACCTCCAAGTTTGAGTCCATCGGACTGTCGTTGCACCGCAGCAGCGCTAACGCAAACACTAAAGAGAACTGTCCTGAGAAGACATCACTGACACCACAGACCACAGAGCCGGAAAGTACCACACCACCTAGTACCGATGCTGTGGATGGGCCTCTCTCTGATCAGAGCACCCAAAGGCAGGACGAAACGACCGTGAAGGAGACTGATGAGCCCAGGCACAGAGCTAGCATCAAGTCCAGAATCAGTCTCCTTCTCGACTCACCCTCAGTTCCCGAAACTGGTTCCGCAAGCCAAGGATCAGTTCCTGACAACGAACCACCGGTGGGGGTGAAGCAACTGATCAAGCAGCTGACAGAGGATTCTCCGATGTCATCGAGCCCCAACACGAAACCAGCAGTTAAGCCCCGCCCTCTGCCCCTGGACCTGACTAAAAGGTAAGAGCTCCTGTTTGCCTTTTGTTTCCTTTTGTCCAATGTCTTTGTCCTGGAGGTACGCTGTTGTGTCTGGCTTTTGTCATGTGTAACGTATGATCTCCAGGTTTTCATCGGAGAGGTCACCCGACCTTGGCAGCGCTCTGCCCTGGGAGACAACAGACCCTCAGCTGATCAACAAGAATCCTCAGAATAAGGTAACTTTACAGATTCGGTTTATTAAACACGAACACATGCTTTAACAACAGCCAACAGTGGAGGCAGTAGCGTACAGTTGTTCACGTCCATTGGCCCCCATGTGATGAGGTGCCGAGAGGAGTCTCTTCGCGGAGAGGCTTTGGTTACCTGCTCTGGACCACACCCACTGTTATGAGAGACTTTCACCTGCTTTTGTACTGAATACATTTAGTGCGGATGAGGCTGCGTCGGTGTCTAGACAAGAAGACAACAAAGACAGGTGGCGCTAACTGCAGTCAGTCAGTAGAATTTTCTTATCACAAATATGATTACGACGTGATCAATCGCATTATCAGGGCGGTGTATTGGCAAGAATCTGGCAATACAATACGTGTCACGATACAGGGGCAACGGTATGATATATTGTGATACATTGCGATACAGTTTTTTCCCCCGATATTTCGTATCCCCCCTATATATATCGGGGGGGATACAAAATTGAAATATCGCAATATTTTATGAAACGTAATATCGCGATATTTCAATGTACGATATTTTCTTACACCCCTAATTGTTATGTATAAAATAAAGTGATGAAGTCAAAAGTAGTTTTATTGAAAAATTGCCGTAACATTTGAACCAAAGTTTTTATTGTTATATTGTCTTTTATCACGTCGTATAACGTTATATTAACATTCTAACGCATATGATCCTATTTTCTTAGAATGAAGAGTTGACGCCAACACCCAGTGACCTCAGAACAGTCGTTGACAAAGACTCCCCACGACCGGCCTCCACCGCTGAGGAAACCCAGGCAGGACCGACCTTCGACGTGACCTCGGGCAGAGACGTGCAGACAGTGCGAGCTGCTTTGTTTGAAAACGTCGTGGAGAGACACACCGTGCACGTGGTGGATGAGAGGAAGCCCGTCCAGAACGCTAAAGATCGTCACCCAAACCCAGTGTTCAACAGTGGAAGTACCAAGGAGGAGGGAACCATCGTCACTGCCACCTACAAAGAACCGGTGTCCCTGTCCAGTCCAGTGGGGGTGGTGCACGCTTTTGATGCAGCGCCGTCCATGGAAGAGAAGCGGCCCGAGAGTGAGCGCGGTTCTCTAGCTCACTGGTCAGACCAGGTCCCTAAGACTCTGAGCTCCAGACCCTCGGAAACACCCAAGCCGGATGTTGGGATCACAGGCTTGAATCAAACCGAACCGAGTTTGTCTGCATCATCGGAGCAGCAGTCTCGCTATCTGAGGGTCGGCGCTCTGCCCAAATGGACTACAACAGACAGCCGAGGGACGCCGAAGGACGGACGAGTGTTTTGGAACACGGACACACAGGAAGAGGTGGAGCAGGAATCAGCCCCCACAGCCGCTCGTCTAAAATTACCACAGGCTGAAGATCAGCAGAGACCCAGGGCGACTTACTTTGCTCTGATGGGACAAGTACAGGAGCCACTTTTTCCCGTCGATACGGCGGACATGTTTGTATCCTCGGATGAGTTCTCTGTGAGATCCGCGCAAATGGGACCTCAAGGAAAGATTCATCGCAACAGAAGGAACCCCTCCTCTCAGGCACAAGTGGAGGAGCAGAGGCTGAAAAACCAGGGGAAGGTTCACCCGCTCAACCCAGGTGTCCCGCCACCGGAGGACGGGACGGAGAGTGTGTACAGGAAGGAAATGAGAAAGGAGGTCGACAAACACAAGGCTAACATGAAAGAGCTTGAAAGAGAAAAACACAGGCAGCTGGAAATGGAGTTTGTGTCGATGAAGGAGCGCGAGATGCAAAGGGAATTTGAAAGGCAAAGACAGAAGGCCTTCGAGAAGGAAGTGGAAATGCAGAAACAGATCAATCTGGAACGACAGAGGCTGCAGGATTACGAAAGACAGAAAATGATCGACTCGGAAAAACTGAGGCTACAGGAGCAGGAAAGACAGAAAAAACAGAAGGAGTCGGAGAGGGAGGCTGAACGAGAGAGACAAAGACTGAAGGAGGAAGAGAGGCAGAGGGCACTGGAGAGGCAGAGAATGGAAGAACTGGAGAGGCAACAGCTCCTAGAGTTTCAGAAGCAGAAGGAGAAGGAGAGACAGCAGCTGGAGGCCGAGAAGAGGAGGCTGAAGGAGAAGAAGGAGAGGGAGGAGGCGAGAATGAAGGAGATGGCGCTAGAACAGGAAATGTTGAGACTCAAGGAGCTGGAGAAGGAGAGGGAGAGACAAAAGGAAATGGACCGTCAGGAGGTGGAGCGTCAGAAGAAGATGAAGCATCAGAAGGAGGTCCAGCGTCAGAAGGAGGTCGAACATCAGAAGGAGGTCCAGCGTCAGGAGGAGATGAAGCGTCAGAAGGAGGTCGAACGTCAGATGGAGGTCGAACGTCAGATGGAGATGGAGCGTCAAAAAGAGTTACAACGTCAGATGGAGATAGAGCACCAGATGGAGATGCAGCGTCATGAGATCCAGCGTCAGGAAGAGATGAAGCGTCAGAAGGAGGTCCAGCGTCAGGAGGAGATGCAGCGTCAGAAGGAGGTCCAGCGTCAGGAGGATCAGAAGGAGGTCCAGCGAGGAGATGCAGCGTCAGAAGGAGGTCCAGCGTCAGGAGGAGATACAGCGTCAGAAGGAGGTCCAGCATCAGGAGGAGATGCAGCGTCAGAAGGAGGTTGAACGTCAGAAAGAGTTCCAGCGTCAGATGGAGGTGGAGCGTCAAAAGGAGATCGAACTTCAGATGGAGAGGCAACGTCAGAAGGAGGTCCAACGTCAGATAGAGGTGGAGCAGAGAGAGATGGAGAGAATGCAGCAGCTACACAACCAGAGACAGTTAGAGTTAGAAAACCAGAGGTTGAAACAACAAGAATTGGACAAGGAGAGACAGAGGGAGGAGGAGAGGAGAAGAATCTTGGAGCTTGAGAAACGTAGACAGCGTGAGAAGCAGGAGAGAGAGGAGGCTGATAAAATCAGAACGGTGGCCAAACAGCAAGAGGCAGAGAGGCAGCAGCTGAGAGAGAGGCTGAAGAGGGAGGAGCAGGAGGCGGCACAGTCGGAACCATCAGTCCTGAGGCACAAAGGCTTGGATCTGGACCACGAACTGTGGACTACGTTTCAGCACGGTGGCCCTGCACCCCGATGGAACGATCCAGAGTCTTACAAACCTGCCATACTTGACGTCGACATTTTCACGACCCAACCTCTGGTCCCCACCAATAAAGACCTGTTTCCTGGTTCTGGCGTTCAAGGGGTTGACACCGGGTCTGGGCCAAAGTTCTGGAAGGTGCCGACCCAGACCTCTGCGGGGTTCTCCAGCCCCGTCTGGACCCAGCCTCCCAACGATTCTTGGGACCTGTCTGTGGACCGGGGTGCGGCTGAACCCAGAAAACATTCCAACACGCTCACTCCGGAACAGGTTCTACTCAGACCGGAGAAACACCCCGTGGCTCCTCAGAGACCCTGGTCTGGACTCCTGGATGAGTCTCCCAACTTGAATCCCAACTCCAGCACAGACCCTAAACCTGGAAACACCACTGGTCAGCTGCTCTGGCTCCCCAGAGAGCTGCAGCCCCAAGACAGCAGGGAGGTCAAAGGGCACAGGAGGTCCGTGGGGTCCCAGGTGAGCCTCGTAGATCAACATCACCGGTCAATGTTTCAATTTTCACCCTCTATATACAGTCTTTGACCACTAGGAGTTTAGGTTCTAGTACCCAGACCAGCGTCCCACTGTATATGCAAATAGATACAAATAGAAGACGTGTTTGTATAATTTATACCGATGCAGAGTGACGTAGGTTGTCTCTCTCTGTCTCCGACAACTTTGCCTTGTTGACCTGGTCCGACCTGGTTTTAACATTTGCCTTGAACGACCCGATCACCTACACTCACAGCAAATATCCATTAACTCTGCCTCTTAGCTTGAACCCATCTGTCACTCTGACTGCGCACCTCACCACTGTCTGGGTTGTACACTTTTTCTAGATAGACAACAGGCACACCTTCTCTGTACTTCCTTTCCAACAGTCTCAAAGCACAATATGTGGACGTAAAACCCTTCTGAGACTGTGTAAATCAGGGGTTCTCAACCCCAGGTCCGCAGACCATTACTGGTCCATAGATCATTTGGTACCGGGGCACAGTGGGACACATTTTTACTATGTGCTTTACTTTCTGCTGCATGGACTTTATTAAATTCTTTTGAAGCACCCGCGGGCCACACAAAATGGCTTGGCAGGCCACGTTTAGCCCCCCGGGCCTTGAGTTTGACACGTATGCTGTAGACCAATGGCTGTTTTTTTTTTTTTTTAGTGATTTTGTCAAAAGCTTTGACTTGGGAGAAACAAGTGATATTTCTGTTGTTGTTGTTGTCCTTCAGGGATTGAACCGGATGAGGTCTCGTAGTGTGTCGAGGCGTTCAGCTCCTCCGGGCAGCACGGTGGAGGGAAGTCTGTCCAGAATGAGAAGTCGCAGTGCCCACAGAGAGCAAGACCGCCACAGCTTGGTGAGTACAGGCAACGCCTCAGAAGCGACATGTGACCTAGCTGGGCTGCAGGGTGGTCCCTCACTATTTCGCGGTTCATCTTTCGCGGATTCACGACTGTATATATAAAATATACCGTATCCCGGATTTGGATCTGTGAGAGATGTCACAGGAATGGGATGACGATACGGTTCGATCGGTCCAATTTTGCAAAAAAAACGACAACGTCGTGACTGTCTACGAGCTAGTCTTCGACTGGAAAAAGAAGCAGCGGAAGCACCTGACGAACATCGCCGATCGCGCGGACCGCGATGTTCGTCAGCCTCGCAAAAAAGAGTCGGTTCCTCCTCCTACTACGGATACACCTTCGGAAACCATGGAAGAGGTGCCCCAAGAAATGGCACCACCCTCTGGAGAGACGTAAAATCAATCATCAGCTGCGCAGTAAAAGCCATCATCACCTTCCTCGTCATCGTTTTACTGCGCATAAATACGGTGTCACTACTTCGTGGAAATTCAGTTCTCGCGGCAGGGCCTTGGAACCGATCTACCGCCATAAACCAGGGATCGCTGTATTTTGGTGTATGGTCGAGGTAAAAACCGCTGATGAAAGGTTGTTGACAACCGAACCGTGACCGCTGACGAGTCGGTGACTAATGTTTGTGGCATGACAACCTGCTCCATTCACACACACACACACACCCCCCCAATCACTTTCTAGTGTAGCTGTGGCCAAACAGCTTCTCAGGCCTGTTTTTCAGGATTGGCTTAGGAACACGGGTTGTTCTTGCGGCTGCTGCTGCTGCTGCTGCTGCTGCTGCTGCTGCTCACTTCTCTTAATAATGATTTAATGACTCATAGTGTTTTTGTTTCCTGCACCAAAACACACACCCGTGACGTGTTGACTGTTACCGACTGAAGGAATAGATCTGCTCCTCTCACTCCATTGGTCTAAATGGCTTCACGTTTATTTTCCCATCCCTTTATCTGGACCTGAGTTTATCGGTTTATCTGCAGTGATGACTTCACTAATCATTCACTTTGTCACCGAGGGCCACCGTTACTGATCAAAGTTGAAGGGCAACTTTGTGGACCTGCCTTATTATGGATTATGTAAACCTCATTATTTTGATAATGGAAGCCCAGAGTAATTCATCAAGAGTTTGAGAGCCACTACTGCCATCTAGTGCATTTTTCTATTTCCCTATATCATGTAGGGGGCCGTCTCGCATCATGTTTCCCAGGAGTTTATGAATAATGTCTATTGACTTGGGTCGCAAACGTTTGTGACTTTTAAAATATGGGTACGTTTAGAAACCCCTGTACTAGAGGACTGGGGTAAACTTAGAGGTAATAGATTAGTATCCAGGAATGAATCAGCAAGTAGTGGGAATAGAATCCTCTCCTTCGATTTTAAAAACACAGCTCAGTTTAAGGTTGAGCTATATATACAAACCTATCTCTATATGTACACACACACATCTACACAAACACAAATATGTGTGTATATATGTATATATGTAGTATATAATAACTAAAAATGCACTAATTTGCCTTAAAATACCAAGCTATGTCCATTTTTGTGGTTAAAATATGTGTATATATATATATATATATATACATACATACATAAATACAGTTAAGGATATATTTCTGAAAACGTACCAAATTGTTGTTGTTTTGACTGCACTGCACCTTTAATACACGACAGCAGAGGGCAGCGTGTAGTCCACACCTCAGCTGTAGTTGTGTGGTGACATCACTGGTGGTAGTCAGAGGTTCTGAGGTTGGTCAGTCAGCAGACATGGACCCCGGGCTGAGGGCGCTGTTGTACCTGTGGTGCTGCTGCCTGACTCCACACAGACTCTGGGTGAGTGACTCTCGCTGATGTCTTCTGATTTTTAGGACCAGGAATCCAGATTATATTAGAACATGTCGGCTGAGTTTGTAGAAGCATCTCAGGCTGGTGAGGTCAGAGTGGGGAGGGACATATCGAGCAGCTACGAGTCACTTCCAGTAGGTGGTGTTTGCCTGAAGGATGAGTGATACTTTTTTTTTTTTACATTAAAACCAGTCAGGTTTAAAACGTATGAAATTATGTTGGTGGTTCTCAACAATGGGGGCAGGAGGCTATTTCAGGGTTCACTGTACTTTTTTTTTCCTCACTGGGAAAAAAACGCACAGATTTTTTTTAATCCAACAATAAATACTCATGTAATAAGTAGTAAAGTCCGTTTGGGCCGTGTTAAACATCGGTTGACCTATAGGGGCGCGAGTGGACGCAGGGTCGGAGTTTCCCTGTCTGACAGTGTCCTCAGGTTAACGTTTTCCACTGTTAAGTCACATTGTGTTATACTCCGCCCGACACAAGGGGGCATCTCAGCTGGCTGCTGTTGACTGGAGTCACACTGAACGGAACAAGCTCCTAACTCCTTCACTTGACTCCGAACTCTCTCACTCGACTCTTAACTCTTTCGCTTGACTCCTAACTCCTTCGCTCGACTCCGAACTCTTTCACTCCGACTCCTAACTTTTTCACTCGACTCCAAAATTTTTTGCTCGACTCCTAACTCTTTCACTCGACTCCTAACTCCTTCACTCGACTCCTGTTTCGCTCGACTCCTAACTCTTTCACTCCGAGTCCTAAATTTTTTGCTCGACTCCTAACTCCTTCACTCGACTCCTAACTATTTCGCTCGACTCCTAACTCCTTCACTCCGACTCCTAACTCCTTCACTCGACTCTTACTTCCTGCCTCGCTCAAACAGGTTCTCGCTCTAATTACAGCTTTACTTCTCTGCGTGATTGCAACATTTTTTATAATCCTACCACACTTTCTCCCACTTCCTCGCCCTTTCTCCCTCCCTTCCCTCCCTCTCTCCCCTCCCTCCCTCCTTCCCTCCCTCCCTTTATTTTTACATACGTCCTCTGCTTCTGCCTGTGACGGCGCTCTGTTGTTGCCCAACCTGGGGCTGGAGCCACATCACTGCATTACATATATCAGCCTCCCTCCCTCCTCCCTCCCTCTCTCTCTCCCTCTCCCTCTCCGGATCAGGGACCTCCCATTTTCTCACTCTCTCACTCTCTCTTGCTCACCCTCTCCCTTTTTGAGTGTGTTGCACTCTCTCCCTCTCTCTCTCTCTCTCTCTCTCTCTCTCTCCACCCTGTTTCTCCTTGGCAGTCAGTCCCGTAGAGCGGAGTAAAGAGCAGCACTGCTGACGCAGTTTCCACTACCTGCCTGTACCTGCAGCAGGCGCCGAGGAGGGAACGCGTCCTTCTGTTTTTTTTCTGGTGGATTTGACCTGAACTCCTCGACTCCCCCTCCTGTCTTGCTCTGTCCTGCTCTGCTCTCGGACCATGTCTGGACACGGCAGGTTTTCCTTCCGCCGTCAGCTGTCCTGCACCATTTCTCTTTTCACCTCGCGGCCACAACAGCAGCATTCAGCCTGAAGATGTGGCCCAGTTGGACACGTTTCAAAACTTTCATCCGGGCAGAAACGCATTGACCTCGGCGGTCAGAGAGATCTCCTCCGGAGGACCGGTATAGCGGTAAAAAAAAAAAGCCGGATCGTAATATAGTAAAGTCTCGTGCTTTAAGAGTACGATGAGTGACTTGCTTTTTTGGTAGCGCACTTCAATAATCTGACAGAAGGTGGCGGTGAAACTGGACAGTTAGCGCGAGGCTAACATCCTGGAGATTTTTTTTGGGGGGGGCTGATGAGTTGATTGCTCCACTGGGACTGCAATGCAGACGGACCGTTGAAGAGGAAGTGGAGTTGTGGAGAGGCGTCTGCCCGCGCTGCAGATGACACCAACATAACCCACGCACCGAGTCAACATTCAGCAGAGCAGACTGCGATCACTCGCGGCTAACGGGCTACTCTATCTTGTAGTTCCTCGTGATGGAGTATCTGGGGGAAAAACTTTCCGTCGGTCAGTCTCAGCTGTCGGGATGGGTCGGAAACGTCCGCCGCTCCCTTCACGGGGCACTCAGCTTTTTGTCCAGTTCGACGGAGAGGGGGGACCGAGGGGGAGAGATCGGAGACTTCCGAAGAACCAACTCCGTTCGCTCCTTGGCCTCGCGCAGCAGGGAGTCCATCCGCACATTCTCGCTGCGCAGCCAGCAACGCCTGTCGTTACGTAGACGTACTGCTCCCAACACGCCCACTGCCGTAAGACCGCGTTCACACACACACACACACGAGTACAAGTGCACAGGAGGGAGGCGCTGTTGTCACCCTGTCTTAGCTGTGGTTCTTTAACGTGAATAGACTAGGCTGGAACCGAGCTCCTGCTCCAGAACTGTTGCAGTACTGTTTAATGTATTTGTTCCAGGAACTTGCATTGGCAAGAATCTAGCGATTCGATACGTATCACGATGATGCGATATATTGCGATACTATAGGCATGGCAATATAGTTTGTTTTTTGTTTTTTTGTTAATCATTGTTAATTGTTACTCAATGATAACAATTAACGCAATATTTGGGTTCAATATTCTTCTTACTTCTCAACTGTGACAACTGTGTTGTCTTTAGCGCCACCTACTGTAAAACAACCTCCGCCCATGTATAATGTGGAGTGACTGCAGCAGTCGCTCAGATAAGTGCTAGCATCGCCTGATGAGTCACGGCGGCCAATGACGGCGCCCCATCGTGACACCATTGTGTCTGTTGGCCTTGTTGACGTCTGAACAACATTGACGGGTGACAGTGACTAAGGCGATCGTTGTTGACCGACTGGGAGAGAGACTGCAGCCTGGGTGTAGTTGTCATGTGATATCTTTAGCTCTTTAGTCTGTAAGTTGACAAGTTTCCAAGTCTCTACATAGCAGCTGACTGCTGCGATGGAGTGTTAGTGTCGGACGTTTAAATATAAACCTCCAACTGTTGATGGCCGCACCTTCAGATTGCTAAGCCACTGCCAGGACGGGTCAGTCAAGTCGCTCATTTACACACCGATGATACTATTATTTCTTTGTGTGGACCACGACCTACTGGACTGGTCCACAGTCCTTGACCGGTATGATATCGTATCGACATTTGTTGACCGTATCGAACAATTACCGGTCAAATATTCCTAGCGGTTCATTTTATTTTGCTCTTATTTTTGCTCAATGTATATGGTATTGTTGCCCCTGTATCGCGATACGTATCGTATCACCAGATTCTGGCCGACGCAAGAGTGTGTGTAACGTCCAGAAAAAACAAAAAACAAAGACTGAAAATAGGAAGGTCGCCAAGGTCAGAGTGACCCTAACAGGATTTTTTTTATTGGGAGAGAGGATTTGGACTATATATATATATA